CGTCCTCCTCCATGTGTCCCTGGCCCGAAGTGTCCCCAGGATTGCGCAGGGCCGCCCAGAGGGGGTCCGAGCGCAGGCAGTCCGCTGGAATGAGGACCGTTTTGGGCTCGGGAGGGGCTCGGGTTTCCAGACCGCTCCCCAGACTTCTGCTTTGGAGCCCGTTCGTGGCTTAGGCCCGCCCTGACCAGAAGAGCCCCTTTGTTCCTTGATCTGCGCTCCTTCTGGTAGCACGATGACCACGGATAGGGTCGGAGGATCGCGCCGCCTCGCCGATGCATCGCCGATGCGGCGCGATCCTCCGACCCCATCTACGCGGAGTCCATCCAGGAGGCCTGCAAAGGTGCCCCCAGGATTTCCAAGGAGGTCCCCAAGGCAGCCAGAGCAGCCCCCACGAGGCCCAGGAGGCCCCATGGGCTCCGAAATACGGAGCGAAAGGCTAGGGACACCCTCGGCCGAGGATACCTTGAGCAACCCCCGAAGAGACGGTGAGCGGGACGAGGTGGCGATCGGGAGCGGGAGGCGGGTGCATGACTGGGAGCAGGAGCGGGAGCACGGTCGGTTTGACAGCAGGCGCCCCGCGTCAGTGTCTTATCCCCCGATTGATTTGGGGGCCCACGATGCGCTGGGTCACCTCAGGGCCATTCAAGATCGGCGAAGATGACCCACCCCACCCAGGAGCGGATTCGCTCTCGGAGTCCTGTCACCGATCTATCGGCGATGTATCGCCGACTCCAGGTCGACGTCCCCCCACCCCTCCCCTGAGCTATCGTTGCCCCTCACCCCCGTGGAGGCGGAGGGGTAGGAGGAGGAGGAGGAGAAAGAGGAGAAAGAGGAGGAGGAAGAGGAGAAGGAAGAGCAGGGGTAGAAGGAGGAGGAGGAGGAGGGCCAGTGTAAACCCAAGAGTCATCAACGATGTTGGAACCTACCCTCCCTCTTGATAGGCCCTCACAACGGTTTGTTTCCACCGAGGGAACTGCCTCGTTGGAAGACAACCGTCTGAAGACTTTGCAGCATGCCAAAACATTGTCCTCGGGATTCCAACGCCACGGATCAACCTGACTCCTACGTGTTGACGATCCTGAATCGTGCCAGAACGCTATTCCTGGGATTTCAACACAGCGAACCAACGTAGCTGTTGCACCCTCAAAATCCGGATTCAGTCCAAAACCTTTTCTGGTACGTTGACCATGGGAATCCGTGATACCCTCGCACTTCTTCAGAACGAATGCACGCCGCGCTAAGGCGAGAGCCACATTTTGAAAACGACCCGCCCTCAATCCGTGAAACCGCTGCACATGATTAAAGCGAGTGCATTCGGCGCTAAGGCGAGACCCACAGTTTGAGAACCAGTCGCTTTCAATCCGTGTAACTATTGCAGATGGCGGCGCTAAGGCGGGAGCCACGTGTTGAAAAAGACCCGCCTTCCATATGTGAAATGGTTGCCAATGTGCAAGTTTAAGGGCCATCAAGGGTGAGGAAGCGAAGTCACAGGCGAAACGCCCAACCCGCCCTGAAACCTGGCCTCGGGGTGCGACAGGGGAAAGTTATGCACAAGGAAAAGCAATGGAGGAGGAGAAGAAGGAGGAGGAGGAGGAGGAGAAAGAGGAGGAGAAGGAGGAGGAAGAGGAGAAGGAGGACCAGTGTAAACGCAAGAGTCATCAACGATGGTGGGATAAACCCTGCTCCCAAGCTCCCTCTTCAAAGGCCCCTACAACGGTTCATTTCCATTGAGGGAGCCGCCTCGTTGGAAAACAACCGTTTGAAGACCCTGAAGCATGCCAAAACATCGCTCTCGGGAGTTCAATGCCACGGATCAACCTGACTGTTGCGTGTTGACGATCCTGAATGGTACCAGAACGCCGTTCGTGGGACTTCAACACAGAAAATCAACGTAACTGCTGCGCCAGCGTAATCCTCAATCCTTTTCCAAACACAGTTCCTGGTATGTTGACGATGGGAACCCGTGGAACTCTTTCAAATGTTATAAACGAACGCGCGTTGCGCTAAGGCGAGAGCCACATTTGGAAAAGGACCGCCCTCAATCCGTGAAGTCCCTGCAAATGTTCAAAGCGAGTGCACGCGGCGCTAAGGCGAGAGCCACATTTTGAAAACGACCCGCCCTCAACCCGTGAAACCGCTGCACATGATTAAAGCGAGTGTGCTCGGCGCTAAGGCGAGACCCACAGTTTGAACACCAGTCGCCTTCAATCCGTGCATGTTGAAAAAGACCCGCCTTCCATTTGTGAAATGGTTGCCAATGTGCAAGCTTAAGGGCCATCAAGGGTGAGGAAGTGAAATTTCAGGCGAAACGCCCAACCCGCCCTGAAACCTGGCCTCGGGGTGCGACAGGGGGAAGTTATGTGTGAGGAAAAGCCATGGAGGAGGAGGAAGAGGAGGAGAAGGCGTAGGAAGAGGAGAAGGAGGACCAGTGTAAACGCAAGAGTCATCAACGATGTTGGGATAAACCCTCCTTCCAAGCTCCCTCTTCAAAGGCCCGTACAACTGTTCATATCCATTGCGGGAGCTGCCTCGTTGGATAACAACCGTTTGAAGTTCCTGAAGCATGCCAAAACATCGCTCTCGGGATTTCAATGCCACGGATCAACCTGACTGTTGCGTGTTGACGATCCTGAATCGTACCAGAACGTGGACCTCAACACAGCAAATCAACGTAACTGCTGCGCCCGCGTAATCCTGAATCCTTTTCCAAACACCGTTTCTGATGCGTTGACGATGGGAATCCGTGGAAATCTTGCTCATGTTGTAAACGAATGAGCGCGGCGCTGAGGCGAGAGCCACATTTTGAAAACGACCCGCCCTCAATCAGAGATACTTGCAGTTTTAACAACGAATGTGCTCGGCGCTAAGGCGAGAGCCACATTTAAAAAACGACCCGCCTTCAATCCGTGTAACTCTTGCGGAAAAAACAAAAACGAATGCGCACCGGCTAGACCCACATTTTGAAAACGACCCGCCCTCAACCCGTGAAACTTTTACAATGTTCAAAACGAATGTGCGCGGCGGTAAGGCGAGAGCCACATTTTGAAAACGGCCCGCCCTCCATCTGTGAAATTGTTGCCAAGTTTGAAGCTGCAGAGTCATAGATGCTGAGGAAGTTTCAGACGAAACGCCCGGCCCGCCCTAAAAACTGGCCTCGGGGTGCGACGGGGAGAAGTTATTGATTAGGAAATGGAATGGAGGAGGGGCAGGAGGGGCAGGAGGAGGAGGAGGGGTAGGAGGAGGGGTAGGAGGAGGAGGAGGAGGAGGAGGAGGAGGAGGAGGAGGAGGAGGAGGAGGGCCTTCCAGAGTTGGCGGAAGGTCGCCCCTTCCACGCGCCCCTTGCACAGGCGGCTGGAGGGTTGCGCAAGAGGGCGAAGAAGCCGAAGAAGGCGGACCCCGCCCCCCGTGCGGGGCGCGCGCGGGGCTCTTTCTCGGCCAGCGCATCGGGCAGGTCGAGGGGCCAGGTGTCTGGGGAGGGGCACAGGATCGGGGGTGGACAGAGCCCCCACCCTGACACGTCGATCAATTAGTGAATTGTCCGTTTTCGGTTCTCGAGATGGCGCCGTGGCCGTTATTTTCCAGGCCTGCGCCCGCCAGGTTTGGGCCTCAGGTCGTTTTCATTAAACCACGCTTTACTAAAGAGGGAGTCTGTCCATCCCCGAACTTGCCCCCCCGCGCTCGCCGCCAGCATTGGGCCACGGCATCTCAGCCCCGCCAGGGCGGTTCTCGACAGGGCGCCGCGGCCGTCATTTTCTAGGCTTGGTTCCGGGGGTTCGAGGGTCGAAGTCTGCAGTCCTCGGGCGCGTTCGCTGGTTCTCGGCGGTTCTCCAGCCTCGGGGCGCTCTCCATCAGCTGTCTTGGCATCGCTCGGACGTGTGCGTTTTTTCCTCGGCGAAAACCATCGAGGAGCATCCTTGATCATTTGGCGAAACAACCACGCACGAAACCGAAAAAACACAGGGAATGGACGTCCGAGCGATGGCCAGGAGAGCGTTCCGGGGCTGCCTGGATGGTCCCGCACGGCCGCCGGAAGGTCGAGGTCTGGCCCAGCGGTCGGGCCCATACTGGGCCTGCATCGGTTCAAGTGCAGCAGTAAAGGGAAGATCCGCTCAGGGGGAGATGGCCGACGCCCAATCGCCCATTGATCGCCGGTAGGGGCCCAATGGCCCACCCTGCCCCGGAACGGAAATCCATAGGATTCCTCTGGAAATCCATCGGAATTCTTTGGACATCGATCGGACTCCGTAGGATATCCATCGGATTCCTCAGGGAATCCTTTAGGATTCCTTAGGACATCAATGGATTTCTTCGGAAATCCATCGGATTCCTCCAGAAATCTATAGGAATCCCTAGGAAGTTCCGAGCCGATGTTTGCCCCGCTGAGCTTCTGAGCCGGTGCGCCCCTGGGCGCCCCCCCCCCCACGAGGAAGGAGGAGAGGATCGGGGGCGTCCACGAGGGGGGTGGTGATGAGGATTAAGTCGGGCCTGTCCCTCTGCAGGAGGAATATTCCAAAATAGTCAAGCAATAGTTCGGGGACGATGTTTTAAATTGTTTTTGTTGCACTGTGGGTATATGTTTGTAGGAGGACAGGCCCGACTTAAGATTCGGAGGGATGGGTATCATAGCCGGGGCCGCGCCCAATCTGACCACATGTCATGGTCCCCCCCTTCTGCTTTCAATGTGTCCCGTGGCCCCGGCCCTCGTCCGCGCACGTGCCACGATTTGCGACCCCCCCTTTTGGACGATCCCCTCGTGGGCGCCCCCGCGGGAGGAAGAAAGGGCGGCGACAGCTCGCGGGGGTCTCGGGGGGTCTCAAAACAGGCCCACGGAAGACGAGGAGGAGGAGGAGGAGGAGAAGGAGGACCAGTGTAAACCCGATAGTCATCAACGATGCTGGAATCACCCCCCCCTACAAGCTCCCTCTTCATAGGCCCCAACAGCGGTTCATTACCATTGAGGGAACCGCCTCGTTGGAAGGCAAACGTTTGAAGATCCTGAAGCATGCCAAAACATTGTTCTCGGGACTTCAACGCCACGTATCAACCTGCCTCCTGCGTCTTGCCGTTCCTGAATCGTACCAGAACGTCATTTGGGGGACTTCAACACCGCGAAAAAACATAATTGCTGCACCCTCATAATCCTGAATCCGTTCTCGTATCATGATCATGGGAATCCGTGAAGCTCTTCAATTTTAATGTACGATTGCGCGCGAAGGCGGGAGCCACATTTTGAAAAAGGAGCCGCCCTCAGTCCGTGAAGTTCTTGCAATTGTTTAAGACGAGTGCGCGCGGCGCAAAGGGGGGAACCACATTTTGCAAACGGATTCCCCTCAATCCGTGAAGCTCTTGCAAATGTTGTAAGCGAATGTGCGCGGCGCTAGGGCGAGAGCCACATTTTGAAAACGACCCGCACTCAATCCGCGAAAGTCTTGCAAATGTTTAAGACGAATGCGCGCCGCGGTAAGGCGAGAGCCATATTTTGAAAACGGCCCGCCCTCAATCCGTGAAACCCTTGCAAATAGTTTTAAACGATTGTGCGCGACGCTACGGCGAGAGCCACATTTTGAAAACGGCCCGCCTTCCATCTGTGAAGCTGTTGCCAAGTTTGAAGCTTCAGGACCATAAATGGTGAGGAACTCTTAGGCGAAACGCCCGGCCCGCCCTAGAAATTGGCCTCGGGGTGCGACAGGGACAAGTTCTGTATAAGGAAAAGGAGTGGAGGAGGGGGAGGAGGAGGAGGAGGAGGAGGAGGAGGAAGAGGAGGAGGAGGAGGGAGAAGGGAAAAGGGAAGTGACAGGAGGAGGAGGGAGGAGGGGAAGTGACAGGAGGAGGAGGAGGAGGAGGAGGAGGAGGAGGAGGAGGAGGGAGGAGGAGGAGGAGGAGGAGGAGGAGGAGGGAGGAGGGAGGAGGGAGGAGGGAGGAGGGAGGAGGGAGGAGGGAGGAGGGCGGAGGAGGGAGGGAGGAGGGCGGGAGGGCGGGAGGGCGGGAGGGGGCACGGAGGAGGGGGCAGAGGAGCACGGCCCCTGCGGCTCTCTCGAGCCAGGCGGCCGTGCCGACGCGCGACGCCCTGGAGGCCAGGAAGCGGACGGCCGAGCGCCCAGAGGGCCCGCGCGATCCGTCGCCCGAGCCTGGCCGGCGGCGGCCCCGAGCCGTGCCGACGCGTGCAGGCCAGAAGGCACTCGGCGGCGCGCCGAGGGGGGGAGGCGCGAGGGGGGGGCCTCGGCATTGCTCGGACGTGTGCGTTTTCCTTCGGCGAGAACCATCGAGGAGCATCCTCGATCATGTGGCGAAGCAAGCCACGCACAAAACCGAAAAAAGCGCAGGGAATGGACGTCCGAGCGATGGGGGGAGAAGGAGGAGAGGAGAAGGAGGAGGAGGAGGAGGAGGAGGAGGAGGAGGAGGAGGAGGGAGGAGGGGAGGAGGGAGGAGGAGGAGGAGAGGAGGGATGAGTGGGAAGGGAAGGGGGAGGGGCAGGCGCGAGGGGGGGGGCGGGCCGCCTCGGCAGGCGGCGGGGGCTGCTCCCGAGGGGCCGGGACTCTGTCTTCGGGGGGGGCCCTCGGCGTCCGTGTTCTGCGCTTCCCCCCCCCCGCCCCCCTCGGGCGCGGCGCCGAGGCAGGGGGGGCAGCGGGCGCCGCGTGCCGTGTGCAGCTCGTGCCCCTCACTCCGGAGGGGAAAAAGCACACAGACACAATGAATCGTCGATTCCCCCGAAAACAGTGGAAAATAGATGGGAAGTGGGGGGAAGGCAAGAACCCCGAAAATATGTTGGGAAATATGGGGAATCCTTTGATCTGTGTGTATTTGTTTGTGTGTGTGTCCCAGGGCCCCTTCACTAATTTCTTGTTGGAAAATATGGGGAATCCTTTGATTTGTGTGTATTTATTTGTGTGTCCCAGGGCCCCTTCACTCACCTCTGGGGCGCGGGCACGAGGCAGGAGAAGAGCACGGAGCGGGCGGGCCCGAGCGCCAGCGAGAGCAGCGCGGAGAGACTCGAGGGCTCGACGACTCTGCTCCAATCGGCTTGCGGGGATGAGGCCAGATAGCTCTACGCAAGTCGACGTGAATTCAGATGAGTCGGGGTAGATCCAGAGAGATCCATATAGATATAGAGAAATCGCGGAAGCTCCAGCGCGAGTCGAGGGACAGCATAAGTCATTCAGCCATTAGTGAGCCCAGGGCCCAACGAGGCAGCCGATGCGGCCAGATCGGCCGATCCGACGACCGACCAGGATCTGTCGGAAGGATCGGAATGGGGACGGAAAGAACGGGGAAGAGGACCGGTCGGAGTTCTCACCTTTCTCTTCCAATTTCGGGTACGACCGAAATTGGTCCGAAACAAATTGGCACTCAGACCGAAAGCAGCTCCTGTTCATTTTGAACCCGAGGCGCTGTCTGTGTCGCCGCGAACGTTGTCCGTTTGAGACACAGACGCGCTTGCCGAGCAGCGACCGCTGTCGGTTTGGGGAGCACCCCCTGCGGGCTTCCCGCAATTACTTAGGCTTTGCGTAAGGGTGTCTTATCTGTTCGTGGGAGCGCTGCTGGGTGTGACGACTGGGGGTGGTGCCAGTGGCCGTGTCTCGGGGTGTCATCTCGAGGCGCTTCGCAACGGCGGCGCAGATGTGACGCCTGGGGCGCGTCTGTGATGCCATCCATGCTGCGAGGTCCGACTGCATGCAACTTCACGCAGGCACCTTGGGCACCTCCCTTCGGATTGTGTCGCCCAGGTGTTCTGTCCGGGCACAGAGGTGCTGGGTGCGGCGTGGAGCCCAGAGGGAGTACCCTGGGGGTCCTCGGGTTTCTGGCTTGGGGTCCTCGGGGTTTCCTAGAGAGTCCCTCGCCCAGGTTCCTTGCCTGGGTTCCTCGGGATCCCCTGCTGGGTTCCTCGGGATGCCCGAGGCAGCGTCAAGCAGTGGCAAGCGGCCCTAAGCGATGCCAAGCAACGGTTCTTGGCAATGCCGAGAAAGGCTTTTGCACTGCTTCGCACCGCGTCTCTCTGCGTTGCTCAGAACCGCTTCGCCTTGCCGTGGAAGAAAGAATGCCCCAATTCGGGTCGCGCCAGGATCATCCGACTATGACCCGCTGTCGGTGCTGCCGCTGACGTCGTCCATTTAGAACGAACTTCGCCTAGCCAACAGCGGACGCAGACGCTCTTGCACAGCTCTGCTGTCAGGTATCGCACCATTTGTTCCCCACCCCCGTCGGTCAAAATTCGATCGAGACCTCCGATCGGGCCGACCTGGCTGATCCGCCGACCGATCAGGATCTGGGCGCTGCGTCCCTGGGATCTGGGACAGGGCTCGACCTAACCGGTGTTTGGGCGATTTCGTGAGCCGTGCTCGCTTCGACTCGTTCTGTACCAGAGGCTGGACGAAGACAAGACGAGGGAACACGAAATGAAAACGGACACGAAAAGCGCTGTTTAGGTCGAGCCTCGATCTGGGACCCGGGCCTCGTGACTGTTCAGCGCCAGGCGTTCTCGCTCGGTCTGGGGCCCGTGCCCTCACATGCCGATGCGGCCTGAGGAGTGCCGCGCCCAGGCGCTCGGCTCGTGCAGGAGCCTGCATGCACGCCCGACAGCTTAAAGCAGATTTGCCGAGGCCACTGGATTTGTGATCGTACGTGTCTACATTGTTTTGCCGATCGGCGCGGGCCCTCGCACCGCGCCCCCCTCGCCCCCCACATAGGGCAGATCTTGGCTGTTTGGGGCGCCTGTTTCGAGCAGGCGGAGCATCTCCCCCATAGGACGCACTGCTGCAAACAGCCGCATGAAGCAAAGGTCCGGAGCCAGACCCCCCCTCCCCCCCTTCCGCCCAATGCCGAAACGCCGAATACGAAAACGTGAACTTTGCATTCCTCTCCTTTCGCATGAGGCGTGGTCGCTCAGCTTTCGGACCACCGTTCAGTGCGTGAGTTTGCACATCGCAGGTCGGCTCGTGTGGTGCTCCCGGTTTGCCTGGCGACCTTTTGGTTCGCACAACGGTCGATGCCGAGTCGGTTAAAGCTTTGCGGTCGCGCTTCCTCAGCAAAACGGCATAAAAGACATGTAGAAGTTGAGTAAAAGTTCAAAACCAGCACGCAGACAAAATAACTTCGTAATGGTACCCATTGAAGTCCTCATCGAACTTCCATCTGACGTGCAAATGCACGCGTGTATTTGCACATGCTGCGTAAAAGCGTGCGTCTTTGCGCAGGAGTCATTAGCGCGTCCCGGGTATTCAAGAGGCTGACGCCATTCCGCCGACCCCCAGAAGAGAAAGAGAGTTTCGTATGATCGCGTATGATCGCGGGCGCAAGTCGGACCATTTGGCCTGACTACCTTGGCTCGTACGGGCGTTTGGGAGCCTCTTTGGGACCTCTTGGGGCCTCTTGGGGTTGTTTTTGGCGCCGGCTGGCGGTCTCGAGGGTCCTCTTGTGCCGGAGTGCTCGAAATGTTAGTTCGAGTTGCCCCTCCTGGGCCCATCCTGTGGGTCTCTTGGGGCCTTTTGGGGCCGCTTTGAGTGCCTCTTGGGCCGTCTTGGGGCCCTCTTAGACCTCCTTGGGGTCCTCTTGGAGGCTTCTTGGGCCGTCCTGGAACGATGTCCGGGCCCTCTGGAGCCCTCTTGGACGCGGCTAAGGCGGAAAAAGAACAGATGCTAATCCTATAGGGATTCCTTAGGGTTTAGGGCGAGTTTCTTGGGACTCTCTTGGGGGTCTTCTTGGAACCCTCTTGGGGCGTCTTGGAGCCTTCTTGGGCAGTCACGAGGCCATCTTGACGGTTTTGCATGATTCCTCAGCATGTTTGAGCCCAGCTTGAGCTAGCTTAGATAGCATCTTGAGGATTCTGGAGGCCCCGAATGTAGATTTGGAGGAGACTCCCGAAGCCCCGGGGGTGAGTAAGGGAGCTCTCGCCCCTGCCCCCCACCCTGGGGGGGGGGGGACATGGGGGACCCCCCCTAAACTAGATTTGGGGCTTTCGGGGAGGGGGACAGGCAAATGTTTCACCCGTCTTTCCACCCGAGGCAAGCGGGGGTCAGTGGATGACAGCATCAGAGCCCTCGAACGGTCTTGCATTGTCCCTCGGTGCATGGCTGAAGTGGGGTTATGCGGTGTCGTGGATGTCGTTACGTTGGTCGCAAGTGTTCAATCAGCTCCTTTCAAGATTTGTTGCATTGGACAGCAGCGTTTTTTTTTAATTCGAGGCGTTGCTATAAAATGCAATGAAGTTTGGGAGCAGCTCGATTCAAAATCATAGAACACGGGCCGTTGCAAACTGAACGGCCAGTAAGACACCCCCGCGAAGCCATCTTTTAGCTGCGCACCCTGACGACAATTTCGGACCGTCCGGGATCATGAATGACATGTTGACCATTCCGGATTTCTAGAGGTTGCTGTTTTTCCTTTGGTGAAGCCGCAATGTCCGTCACGTGGAGTCGCCCCTCCCCCTTTGCCCCTCCGTAACAGTAACGAACGTACGGGGGCGGGGTGCGCCCCCCCTTCTTGTAGCTGTGGTGCTGACAAGCATGCAGTGGTGCTCACATGCTTGCGGTGCCATCTAACAGCTGTGAAAAGTACGATTCGCACTACTATTCCTAGTGCGGCCCCTATCACTACCACTGCAATGCGCATACGACGGTTGCTAGCCCTAACGCCACCTCCTACTACTACTACTACTACTACTACTACTACTACTACTACTACTACTACTACTACTACTACTACTACTACTACTACTACTACTACTACTACTACTACTACTACTACTACTACTACTACTACTACTACTACTACTACTACTACTACTACTACTACTACTACAATACTATTACTACGACTACTACTACTCCTACTACTACTACTACTACTACTACTACTACCTCTACTACTACTACTACTACTACTACTACTACTACTACTACTACTACTACTACTACTTCTACTGCTACTAACTACGAACTACGCTTACGACTACGACGACTACGACTACGACTACGACTACGACTACTACTACTACTATATACTACTACTACTACTACTACGACTACTACTACTACTACTACTACTTTACTACTTACTACTACTCTACTACTACTACTACTACTACTACGACGA